CGGATACATTCGATACTCTTGATAACACATCTTTCCGTTATCTTCCATTGTTTCCTTCATGAACAAATGTCCATTCCTTGAAGACGGGAATCGGCGAATACGACGCCGTTGTTTGAGATAGTAGGTAGTGGCATCGGTTGATGCAATGTGACAATACGTAACCCACCTATTGATGTCTTCTGCCAGTTGGTTAATGAACTCCTCATCATCGACTTTTTCTTCGTCTTCAGATCCCGATGGAGGCATGGTGACCAAGTCAAGATCATCCATTGCAGAAGACTTAAATGGTAAAGGAGTTTTCGGGTTGGGGTAACAATTTCACTCCATAAAAAAATGACTGTACTCATTGTGAAAGACCACAACAAATTTATATAATAGTCATTAGTTCAATTCACGTGATAGTCGTTCGAGAGCTTTGCAAATCATTGTACCGGTGCTTTGTAAATGTAAACAAAATTGTCCTTCTTGGGCATGTCATGTTGCCACACAACAAAAAAAATAGCATCCATTCAATAGTAAGTTCACGTTCTAGTCTCTTCAGTGGTAGGGAAATCATGGTGCCAGATAGTTTGAATTATTTCTTTTGATTCTCCTTTTTTCACATGTGAATTTCAATGTTGGTATTTGGAGCTCCTTTATCTTTTCCTTCATGAACAAGTGCTGGCTTCTTTGGTTGTTTTCATATGCTTTGTGCTTTTAGTTCATAGACTGAAATTTGTTAGGGATTAGAAACGTGATGGTTTAGAAATTTTTTAAGCTTAGTGAGAATGTACCATCACTTTGGCATGCTAACTATTCAAGTATATAATGATTAAAAACATTTGCTAGATATTCTTTTTCATTTTTCTTCAAAAGTTGGCAGACTTTGTACATCCTTGTTACCTATTTACTTTTCCATCCTCTATTTATCAATAGTTATTTTAAAATCATTTCGTGGGTAAGTCAATTTTTTATCTAATCATTGTACCGGATAGTCAAGAACAGAAAATAGTACAATTTTTCAAATCGTGATGAGGGCACGTAATGAAAATGTAAATATCTCAAAGATAAAAATACAACAGAAATTAGTACAAATAAAACAAGTTTTTCTGATTCGATTACTGCATAAACTAAGGGAGAGATTTCTCACTACAGTTGAACTGTCACTTAATCCACCCGAACTTCTCATCGATCGTCTGCATGACGTCAAGCATGCCTCGATATTTCTTCTGTGCCAAAAGCGTACATGCGAAGTAGTACAGAGGTGTGCATAGTTAGATCTTCCCTGCAGCGAGCAACTCTTCGACACATGCAACTCCTGCTTTCTTGGTTCGTTCCATTACGGCGTTCAGTTTCGCCGCTACTTCTGCTGCAGCACTGTTTGCCCGATCAACTGAGTACGACAGATCTCTAGCACTAACCTTTTTCTTCTTTCCTTTTTTCGTGCTCGACCCGAACTTCCTCTTTTCGCCACTTCTGGAGTTAGACATTTGCATGGTTGAAGTGCTTTTCTGTGCGGGACCCTCATCGCTGGAACCAGTGCTCTCGTCCTGAACTGGGATTGAATCCCGTAGGTCATCTACAACACTGTACTCAAAGTAATTCAAACACGTACGACATAACTTTGTCGGAGTGACTGCGTACTTGTCACCATCGTAGCTATCG